GTGTGTGTGTGTGTGTGTGTGTGTGTGTGTGTGTGTGTGTGTGTGTGTGTGTGTGTGTGTGTGTGTGTGTGTGTGTGTGTGTGTGTGTGTGTGTGTGTGTGTGTGTGTGTGTGTGTGTGTGTGTGTGTGTGTGTGTGTGTGTGTGTGTGTGTGTGTGTAAACATGTATAGTTATTTTCTCGACGATCGATAAGGCAATTTGATTGAAAGTTGCGATAAATCATACATCTTGCGTGCAGTATTAGTATGATTTCCGACACGGACTAGTAGCTATATTATATAGTGAATGTGCAAATAAAAAATTGTGTGTAATATATCAAGGTAAGTATGTCTAACAAATGTTAATTGTGTATTAATTGATATTATCAATTTTTCAATGAATTTAACTCAATCAAAACTTTTTAGGAAGTTTCAATGGAACTAAAAAAAAAGCAATTTTTAATGTCTACTGGTCAATCTCTAGAAACAATTTCGCATTTTTTGGGACTCAATCTGTCGAGTTACATAGGCAGATTATACAGTCTTGTATTGATATTATTGTTCTCTTTTTTAAGTCAAATATCTTGGCGCAGTGTTTGCACCGAGCATTGCGAAAAACATCTTACCATAAAATTCATGGCAATCGCGAGATTCTTCCTAAGTACTTTCTTTGTATTGACTACGTTGAGCATATCTATATTTCATCCAAAACAATTTGCTTTTCTTCGCGAAGAGATATTCATCATAGACTCCATATTCGAGTAAGATTCTTTAAATAATTCTGTTAAATAATTATATAAGATGGTTTATATGTTTTCAAAAATTTGAATACTCTCACTTGACAAAGCCATACCTCTTTTTCTCAATTTGACTTTGTCCTTGGCGCAACGATAGGGATAAAGGATTTGTAAAAACTATACGATGTCTGTTCATTCTCTCTCTTGTTTTTCGTGTTTTATCGCGTGTGCTCTGGCAGAAATTATCAATAGTGTTTGTTGCTTCATACCGCTTTATCCGCTTATTTACAAACATTTTTGATTTTTTTCATGTATTTTACAGCCGCTTCCCATGGCATCTTTGGTCCTTTTGTGTACATGCAAAGAAAAACAGCTTCAGACCTTTTAATATTATATATTAACGCGGCACTCATTATTAAATACGTCTTTCTCTGAAAAAGTGAAAAATCGGATAATAACTGAAGATCTCTGCATAATGCGTTGTAAAGAAAGAAAGATCTCTGCTATCTGCTCATTCAATTGTTTTTATTGTAGTAGTTCTTAAACCAAAAGTTTACGCATTACGTTCTTACTAGACAGACTATACATGCTCTCTACATTCTTCATGTAAGCATATTTTTTGTTTCTGATTTCAGATCGTACGGTGCGAAATTCTCAGACGAAGATATTTTCTTCACAAAATATATACAGGATATCGCAACAGCGATAATAACATTATTTGTCATAATGGAAAATGCTTATGATATAATTACGAATAATTCATTTCAATTGATATGCTTCTTTTTGCACGATTGGTATTTCTTACTGTATGAGTTAGTTATGAGCGGATTATTCGCTCATTATATAAACGATATATATCTAAGATTCCGCAAATTGAATAAAATTGCGATAAAATATTCGAGGGAGAATCTATCCATTTCGTGTATCGGTTTCTCTACAAATTCAAATTCATTTAACAAATGTGATAGCACTGTAATTATCAAGATCCGATTACTTCAACATATTCATCATGAATTATACATTTTAGCAACAAAGGTAATTTATATGCATATTTATGTAGCATACGAATTACTGTTATATATGTTATATTACTATTATATTAAAATTATTTTAAATAATCCATTTTTATATGAATTTTTATTATCAGACGAATACAAATTTTGGTCTGCAGCTTTTGATAGATTCTGTTTTATCTTTGAATAATATAATTTTCCTGCTTTATGACATGTATCGGGATATGGAAAAAGACAACAACAATACCGGAATGTTAATAATTCCAATAATTTTCGTGTCTTTTTATGCTCTTCGATTTCTGTACATCAGTTATGTTTGTCAACGACTGAGAAATAAAGTTGAGTATTTTTTTATTTATAGAAGATAATTTAACGATGTATTACATATGAATGTACTGGACATACATATACAAATAATTTATGCTAATTACATAGCGTTATTTCTTAATGAAAAACGAAATAGAAGATCTTAAATTTTTTTCTGATTCTGCGAAGAAAATATAAATATTTATTCAGCCAGTATCACTTTTTAGATGAGCGTACATATGTAAATAATGTATCTCGCGGTGTGAGTGAAAATAAAAGTATCACAGCACAGTACAATTGTTTTTTGAAACTGTCTACATGTAACTATCTGCATATAATCACACTTTATAATAAATAAAAAATATCATTGTTGTAAAAATCACATTCTTGAAAACAGAATGAATCAAGATTTTTCAATTTGTTTTTCATTAAAGAATAACTTTACGTAATTATTTATTTATATAAATAGAATGCGAATTATACGGAGCATCTTTTTCTCTTGAGATTATAGAATATTTCAAGAGAAAAATTTAATTCAATATTCTAAGAGGCCGAATTCATGCAGGTTTATATAAACTTGTCAAAATTATTCTCATCTTGTTAACTGTTTTTAAATTATTTTTTCTGGAGTTCTCTACCGCATTAACCATGAAGTGAATGAGAGAGCATCATAAAATTCACAGAAAGTAACAATAGAATACTTTTTATTTCTTTATTAATTTCTAAATTTTTAAATGGTTACATACAATTGGCACGCAAAGATACACATGGAGTGCTCACATTGGTTAAACTGTGATTTAACAAAACAATAGGCTGCCTATTTTCTAATTTATAATATGCAGCCTATTTTTATAATTCAAAAGCTAAGCTTCGACGGACAAAAATCTTCTTGACAAATCGATTTGACAAAAATCCTGCCAAAGAAAAAGTTTCAGAATCGAGTTTCAGGAATATGTCGCTTCACAAGACAAGAGTTTTTCTGGCTTATATATGTAGATCATAAAAAGCATGTTTGTAATCTTCATATTTATATTCAGTTTAGACAAACAGCAATCATTTTGCACAATGGTTTTCTGGAAAATAAATCCTCGCGAGCTGAAGTAAGTAAAATTATTTGCATGAAAAATTGTAAGATATTAATTATTAATTATATTTATAAGACAAATTAATTCTTTTCGACTCACTTTCGACTCAATAAATGCAGTCATTTCAATTAAAATATTTCTCCTACTTTTTTAATCTTTTATAGTTTTGATAGAAACTCCGCACAACATAATCATGTAAACGTAACTTGAAAAATAGTTGTAAAATATATTCAGTATTTTGTATATTATAAATAGGATATGGCCAATCGACGATATTAACTGCAAGATACATTTCATGTCAAGAAAATATTATATTCAACAGAGTATAAAAGAAGTAAATATTCTAAATACGGAAGTTAAATTTGGAAGAAATAACTAGCTATTGAATATTATCATGTTTAAAATGATATGAAAAAATAAGTACATGTTGTAGAAAGATTATTTATGTTAACTAAAATGTCTTTGGAATGTCACTACACAATAGACATTCCAATTCTAATTTAATAATGCTTTATAATACTAAATCTCCTTAATAATATTTAAAATTGTACAAAAGTTTGTACAATTAGTTGTTTTTTTTTTTAGTTATAGACAATCATATTGTGTATCTATTATGTGTAGCTATTGTGTATCTATATATGAAAGAAAATTATTAATATAATTTCGATTAAACTCTTTTAATTCCTTAATTCCTTTGTAATATACATTATTTGCATTCAAAATTATTACAAACTACTCAAAAGAGTTTTCGAAAAGAATTTATTCTTGCACATTCTAGTACAAAATATACATATTTTAAACAATTTTTTAATACAAAACGTTTACAAATGTAATTTAGGTGATACACTTTTCACTTCAGCTGATTCATGAGAATTTGATATTCACTGCTTTGGGATTGTATGAAATTAATATTCCTCTCATATGCTCTGTAAGCAAAAAACAAATTCTATCCGTTTATATGATAGTATTATATATAATTGTAATGCATTATATATAATTGTATTGTATTATATATTGTATTGTATTGTTATTATCATGTCTTAAATCATTGTTAATGCCAATGTTTTGTGAACATTATTCAGTTCACTTCATCTACACAAAAAGTAACTTGATATTGAACTGATTGCTGATTTCTAAAGAATTTTTGTTTCATATAAAAATTTGGCAGCCTATTTCAAATGTTCAAAATAAGACCAGTATGAGGTGCGAATTACATGCAGGAACAATGTAGAGTTTTTACAAGTAGGCTTGAAAACGTGATATAAAAGATTAGCGTGCCTGAAAATTTGTATGCATCATGCGTGTGATATTGATATAATAGAGCAGAAAATAGCGAAAAATTAGTTATCCGGGGATTCTTAAATCTGTAAATGCAATTAGAAAAATAGCACGCTGAAAAATTAATCGATTTGAAAAATTAATCGATAAAAAAGGATCGACTTTAGGATCTCCTTAATGAAATAAACTGCAATGTTCATGAAACGTTGGCATTAACAATGACTCGTGACATGATGATAATCCATATAATTTTGAAAAAAATACCCGTGAAAGCCTTAAAAATATGATATAGAATTACTAAATAAAATTTTCTTATAGATCGCTGGAGCTGCAGTAACATATCTTGTTATGTTTATTCAATTAGACACAATAAAATTTGCTATTGCAAATAACAATGGAACTACTAAATGAAGTTATATATGAAAATAATTTTACAAATTTTTTATGATTTTCAAGTTTCAAGTTTCAAAATAAATAAATAATTTATTATATAAATGAATTGAATTTTTCTTCTTTAAATTTCCTGTTCTCTAAAAGAATCGGTAAAAATAAAAATATAAATTATATACAGGATGTATAAAAAGTCTCGGAACGGCGAAATATCTCTAAGTAGTTAGTTTAGGAAAAAGTGTTTTAGATGAAAAAGTTGAATTCAGAAAGATTTATTCAGTGATCTGTTTGACCTTAGGTGTTGTTGCCAAAGTCATGTAGAAGTAAAATTTGTTTTTTTTAAATAAAAACTCCGATCTTTATTACATATTCTTGTAGCTGACGTCGAGAGCTCTGCAAAATATTATAATAAAGTATTTTTTTAGTAACTACTTTCCAAGTTATGAGACTTGAATTTGATATGTAAACTCACATAAAATATAAATAATATCTCATAAGCTATTCAATTTTTTTGGTCAACTATATCTTAATATATTTTTATTGACACAGAATAATGAGATTAGAAATTACTAAACCTTAAGTTAATTAAAAAAAAATTAAGTACTAATTAATTTAGTTTTTTTAAAAAAGTAATTATTGTCGTATTGTTATTATTGTTAACTTCTTCCTATTTTTTTTTAATTTAACTTAATTACGTATTTATCTTATTATTCTGTGCATAAAGTATAGATATATATATATATATATATATATATATTTGCCAAAAATGAATAGTTTACAAGATATTTTATGTTAAATTGCATAAAAATTGATTTATGTACTGAAATTTGGAAATTTTTTTTTATAGATTTTTTGTGTATATGGAAATTCTTCTATATTTTTTACACAAACCAAAAATAACAAAGGGCGCTTGAACTTGGCGTCATTTTTTTTTACTATTTTTACAGAAATAAAAAAAAATTGAGAGGTGCGTGAAATTGACGCCTTCTTTTTATCTTCTTCTATAAGAATAAAATCGATTTTAATACCAAAAAATGTAATCAAACTAACTAACTTCGTGTTAACGAAACTGAACATAATTGATAAAGTATAGGTTATTTTGCAGAATTTAATTTGACAAGATTTAATTTTTCTGATAAGTAAATATTGATTTCAAATTTATTCAAATATAATGAAATATTTGGTAAGAAATATTTTTTGATGATTAAGTAACGCATTTATTAAAATATATATATGTATATAACTATGAACTTGGTCGTAAAATATATTGTAATGACCAATTACATGTAAATCAGTTACTGAAATCTTACACTTACATATATAATAGAATTTTTCACATAACGTTTTATATACTTCTATCATACACATACACGCGTACACGTATGTGACAGCTGTATTCGATAGATATTTTATTTTATTACATTTTAGACTAAATTGTAAATTAGAAAGGGATCATTATAATACGAATATATTTATAAAATGAATGTTGTTTCTCTTGCAGCCATTACCTTCTTCCAATATTATATAATTTATAGACAAAATTCAGATATTACGTTATAATGCAAATAAGACTGCATGTATTGCAAATATTATTAATTTTACATATTGTTCAAAGAGGTGAGCTTTAACCAAAAAAATGCTTGATTTTTATGATGAAAATATAGTTAGTAACTATTAGTATTAAAATAAGATTGAAGTATTGGTAACATATCATAATTGTTTACTTTTGGATAAAAAAATTATAAATTCGATCAATCAATAATTATTTAAGAAAATATAGAAAATTTTAT